CCCGCCTTGTACGTCCGAGGGTTAAGGGATATTGCAAAGAGTTTTGCATTCATTGAGCTTCCACTGCCCTAACTAACATTCAAAGACTTTGTTAATGACATTAGCATAGAAATAACTTTGATAAACTGATTCTATAATATCTAATGTTCTTAGGTTTCGCCCTTATCTCTTTGTTAAAACTAGTCTCTTGTCTCGTTGTTTAAACAGCTTTTGTTACCAAAACATAACAGATGCCAAAAATTTCATTCTTAATTTGATTAGATTAAGGGTGACTCTAAAATATGGTAAAATTAGTTTTAATTTAGGAAGTTGGATTTTAGTAATATCTGAATCAGAATTTGAGCTAATTTGCCTTATAGCTAAATGTTGCGTAACATGGGTAGGAAATGACAATCCTTGATTAGCACTCGTCACTTCAAATGACTTGAAACTCCTGGTGTGAACTAAGATAGGTCCAATCTATATTTACGTAAAATATCAATAAAATTCAATGCATTCTGTAAGCAGGAGTGGTGTCTAGATTTGATGCTTATTTTAGTGACATTTTTTGGGATTTTGGGCAAAAAAAAAAAATAATAATAATAATAGGGGGAGGGGGGTGATCTAACTCCTAAGGGAAAAATCCCAAAGCCGGCCCACTTTGTCTTTTAGAGTTATTGGGTAGTACCTTCAATCTGGCAAAGGTTCATCCAGAAAGGAGAGATGGCATGTATCACCCCTGCCTGGTCCTCTGGTAAACTCGGTCTTAACCCCTATTAAGTAATAACTTAAAAAAAAAATAAAATAAAATAGAAAAAAAAGTACTTTCCACAGCGCTATCATGTCAGATTCTTAACACCTTCTCATGCATAACTACTTTCAAGGCATGAGGTCCCATAATGCTTGTTTAGTCAGCAACTAAATATAACGCTATAAAGGAAGAAATCACACGACTTGTGTTCATTTGCCAGAGTCAATTGCTGTTCCGAGATGTTTTATTGTCGTTCAGAGCCTAGGTCGGCTACGTGAATGATGGTTAGTCTATTTTTCTTTGGAGAACTCCTTCTGTTGCTGTTTCGACCAGTTTCTTCACTGGGTCAGGACCCTTGTCACAGTCACAGCGAGCTAAATAATCCATATCGAAGCATCGCCTATGTGGCAACATTCTGAGTTGATACTATGATTTGTGACGTGGATATAATCAGTGGATGGTATCGATTTGTAAACGAAGTTGGAGGAGAGATACCAGGATTCAAGAAAGACAAATATCATTGTAGAACTGTGGCCCCGATATGGATGCAAGGTCCACATCCATCCGAAGCCAATGGCGTAGTAGATCGAGCGGCTTGTGCCGATTTTAACAACATGTTCCCAGGCTGTCTATCATTTACTACAAAGGTCAAAAACTGCAGTTCATTTTATGTATTATCTTGTAGCACCACCATTTGGATGCAACATGGCCTACTGCGCAGGTATGTTCAGTGGTTTTTGCAACCCTGTTGTTTAATAGTTTCAACTTCAGTTAACACCTAAAATGATAGCCAATACGACTAAAATTATTAATGCTTCACGCATTAGCTGTAATTCGAGAGAAGCATTTCATCTATACATATCATACCGGCTCGTTTTAACCACTCCCAAAGTACAGCATGCTCCATTCAAATCTGGAAATATTGCATGCGAATTTGATTTGACGTCCATCATTGAAACATCTCTTCATTTTAACCTATCATCTAGGTAGTAAGAGTGTTATTTCCTAAACTTATATGTAACGTTGTTGTTGTTATTGTTTTCTTGTTCAACGCATGGGTCGCATATATTAACCGATTTAGGCGTGGGTTGTACTAAGGAAGTATAATTTCACTTTCCAGTTGATTTGCGTCACCCTTCACGGAAAAGTCATTCTTCCATGCGGAATCCTTCGTTAGCTCCAGTTCTCTTCAGCAACATTGCGGAACTAGTACTCTTTTTAACAATCTAGTATAATTTTTGGATAGTTTCTACAAATTCACGTATTTTCCGACTTTTCCAAAAAAATAGACTCGGAAACCCGAAATAGGTCTTGCATATGGTTATTGTTTTGACACACTACCGCAAAGAATTATCGAACCCGAATTCACGATCCCTTGGAATTACTAACAGCAGAGTCAAAGGCGCCGTTTTCATTTCGGATTAATATTTAACAAGAGATTATATTAATTTCAGCAATTTACTTTATTTTCTGACTTTCTAGGAAAAAATGGCATTTAAGATGATTTAGGTTGCTGAATCAATGATGTTACGTTAAGTCAAGTGATGTCGATCAGCACAAATATTTTCTTTCAGAGTATGCTAAGGGGTATCTACTAAACACAAAACAAGTTTGATGAGAAGTATCTATGAAATAACTCATATCTGCACTGCGGTTGTGGATGAAAGTGAAGAATGATCATCGCAGTAAATTTTCCAATGTAAGCAACTGGAAAGAAGAAGCATGGAAAAAATCAAGGCTTCAATGGGATTCGAACGCGTGACCTCCTTTTTTCAGGCCTCTTCTTTCCAATTGCTTATATTGGAAAATTTACTGCGATGATCATTCTTCACTTTTTTCAAAACAAGTTTGTTAATCACGTGTAAAACATCCTCTTATGCCACCGCCCCCTCCCACCCCCTTGAGGGGAGGGGAGATTGGAAAGTTCTGGTAAAGATGCCGAGGGAATGAAATAGCTCGTATGTTCAAAGGCTTGTAGGTGCAACTGATTCTTTAAATAAATTCAAGTTTTGTGAATTTGAGAAACATAACTTGAACCTATCATTCACAAGCTACAATTTAGGTTGATTTTCAATGAAATCAAAATCTGTTGCGCTCTATTGAGTTTACATTGATAGGATATATTTCTATTCCATCGACAGGGGAAAAGCGACCATGCCCTCGTGGACAGTCTGGTTTGTTCCCAAATTGTACAGGTAATTAGTTCAACCTCACGTATTCAACCATCACACAACGAGACCATTTCAAACGTGATATGACTGATACATCTCTTAGTCAGCACTGCCGTAAATTTGACAGGCCCATCTATAAAGCCACATAGCGTCGTGTTCTGGAACTTGCCATGTCTGAAAATTCTGTACAAATTAACAACAAGTAAAGCATGCTAAGTGCAGAAATGATGGAGGTTAAAAAATTAATAACTAAACGAACTAACGAATGAATGAATGAATAGATGAATGAATGAATGAATGAATGAAT